ACCTGAGGATCCTGACTCCCAGGCCAGTGCTGGGGGGACCTCGATGCGGAGGCTGCAGACATGGAGAGAGCGCCTAGGTTCTCCACCACCACCGGTTGAAGATACATAGATGCATTCCCTAGCTTTCTCCAATCATTTCATTATAATAATTTAATTATAATAACAGTAAGTCATAGTTCGAATTATGCAGGTTCAAAACTCCGGCACTCATGTGTTCCTAAATTCAGGATCCTTCCAATTTTAGAAAGGTAATGTGGCGCTCACATTATTTGGAAGCAATCCTGGCAGGGTCTGGGGAGCCCCTAGTACTCAAGCCCATTGATATTTCTATAGTGACACTAACTTACGCAGTCAGCCCTACATGGGATAAATGAAGACGATAACTGGCCTTTTCTCTCTTCAGGTCAAGCTCTGCCACCTCATCAGATACCAAAAATCTTTTTCAAATTTTAGGATTATGGATGAAGGATTGAGAACGTAAAATAAACACAGCAGCAGCTACCTGCTGATGAGTGCTTATGGGAAGTAGAAAACTGGCAAAAACAAAACAAAACACAAAACACCCAGATAGCAGACTTCAAGTCAAAAAGTAAATATATGAAAAAAGGGATTCCACCCCCAAAAAGGGGCCACATTTCAGCTTCTCTTTAAAAACCAGATAATCCAGCAACACATAATCCCACATGGCCACAGTGAGCTAGAGCTGACATGCCTGGTTCTCCCCAGCCTCCACCCTTCCTTCTCGCCTTATACCCTGTCCTCCAGCCTGTGGACATCCAGACTCGCTCTCCCAGCAGGTGCTAGTGTATCAACATTCAATGTCTCGTATTCCATCCTCTCAATAGGTCCCCCAACACATATGCACAATATCCCCATTTTACAGGCGAGGCATAGAGAGGGTCAAATAATTTAAGTCATTTATCCAAGACCCCACAGCTACAAACCCAGGTCGGGGTCACTCCAGTGCCTGCCTTCCTCAGCTCTTTTACCTCCCGTCAACATTCAGGAGAGCCAGTCAGGAAAGGAGGTGAGCCCACACAGCCCCATGGCCTACCCAAGGGAGATGGGAAGGTGAAGGACAAATGAGGCCTGAGAGCGAGAAATTAATGGGTTGCTGGTGTATTATTTCAGTGGAAGAAACAAAGCAGAAAATGGTTTGCATATCATTTCACTGGGAGCAAAAGAATCAATTACAGCCTCTTTCCGACATCTTGCATTCCTCAAAACATGTCTGTAAAGTGAATTGGAAGACATTGTTTTAGTGTCCATATCACAAGAGGCAGAAGCGGTAGGGGGGTGGAAATTCTGCCCCAGAGAGCTTGAAAAAGTCGTAAAACCCCAAATGACCTCTTGCCTTTCAGACTCAACTCTGGGCATGTATTTCGAGCATTTCATACATATTTTTAACGTTGTCTTCGTTTGTCCTTTTCCTTCATAATCTCACACAGGGTCGACCAGTTCAAGTGCAGGGAACCTGTGACTGGGTCGGGGAGAAAGTTCTGTCTCTGGCACACCTGATCCTCTCCACCTATTTCCCTGTTATGATGTTTATGGTACTTGAGTTTTATCACTGGAAGCAACGCTCATTTTTGTTTTCTACCCTATTTTACAAAATGAAGACGAAATGCTAAACATGTTCAAATTGTTGTCCGAACTAACCCTTTTGCAGAGATGAGGGGATGGCACCAGGGTAAATGGAACCACTAGAGCAGCGGTTCTCAACCTTTCACAGGGGTCGCCTAAGACCATCGGAAAACACATATTTTCGATGGTCTTAGGAACTGAGACACCACTCCTCTATCCGTCTCCAGGCCCACAGGCAGATACATCCACATACGAGTACCCGGCGACCCCTGTGAAAGGGTCACTCGACCCCCAAAGGGGTCGCGACCCACAGGTTGAGAACCGCTGCTCTAGAGGGAGGAAGTGCTACTTTGGCTGGGTGTGAAGTGTCTGTTCCTTGGAAGATATAGAAAGCTGATGGACAATGGGTATAAACAAGAGATGTCCAAGACAGCATGTGTCAATATCACAGCACCTGTCAATCACAGCTTTTGGGCCTGAGTCCAGACCCACCATCATAGCGATAAGGGATGGCCTCTTGGGCCCTCACAGCCCACAATGCTAAAGGCACTGACTCTCAGGTGTAGACATCCATAAGATGCCAGGCCAGCCTGGTCTGTGTCCTTCCCGGTATATCATAGCGATCCCTGCTGTTCAAATTCACTTGAACCTGACACTGCCATTTTCCTAGGTCCAAGCAGTCTAATACCAGCAAATTCGTATGCTTTAACCTAAACCACAAGCTCACCTTTACCCAATGTAATCTGACCTGATTCTCAACTTGAACCGAAGTTGAAGGGCACAGGATTTAGAGTCAGACGGTCTGAGTTCGAGTCCTGGTTCTGCCATATTCTAGCTGTATGATCCTAAGCAAGTCACTTGTACTCGCCAGGCCTCAGTTTCCTCATTGGCGAAATGGCAATACAATAATCCTAGGACCTACTCATGGGACTGGCATGAAGCTTACACAAGGTAACTTAAATACAGTAATGCCTATAAAAGTACTTAGCATGGGCTCAGCTACACTACTTGTAATCGGTCATTAACAACCCTCGATACAGTTATCAACACCACCATTTATTAGGCCCAGGAAACTGAGGCACAGAAAAGATGAGTGACTTGTGTAAGATTACACAGCAGATGAGCGGGCAGCAGAGCCAGCCTGGACTGCACCAGGGGTCTTCCAGGCTATCTCGGGCCTGATCTGAATCCCATGCTACAAGTCAGCATCTCATAAGCATCCACCAGAACCAGACCCCACGGCCCTGTGGCCTTGTCCGAAGGGCCGTTCACAATGACGCTGAATACAGTGATGTAGGTCAAGTACTAAGCACAGGCCAGGTATGTGTAATAACCACTTCAGTAATGGAAACCCTACCGCTGCTGCCACCACTGAACCATGGACTCCCAGATGATGCAGCTTCCTGGCCTGGCTGTCTGGGCTATCTAGGTCTCACTCTGAACCTTAGACAAGATCTTTCCCTGGACCTGAGGTTCTCCATAGGTAAAAATGGGAACAGGAGACATGAGAGTTAATCAGATCATCTCCATCCTCTGCTCTCATCTCTGTCATTCTATGTGGAATTGACCCAACCTTAACCAAACCCCTCTATGGCAAATGAAATATGGTGGGGGAGAGTGGGCCCATGAGAGACCCTCCTGCTCACTCTTGCAGAGGTGACGGTAAAGGTATCCAAACCCCAGGCCCCCAGTTCCCCATAAGGTACCTGCCCCCTTTTCTTAACCTCATCCATTCTTATACACCAGCTTCTCCTTAGAACCCGGGCAAGGCTATTTTTGGTTTCATTCGACTCTCCTCTTCCCTTCCAAACGAATGTTAAGTTGTTCTTTTCCATTCTCTTATTAAGGATTTTCTTGGAAAGAAAATATTATTCCAAACCCAGAAATTTTATTTCTAAATTTGTGCAAATGTAAGTTGTAATACATTAGCTGCATTTCACATTTTGTGCAAATGGCAGAAACAGGCAATTCGTGTGCTACGGGATGGGGGCTGGCCAACGATTTCGATAAAATAAACCCTTTTTTAATTTAAATGCTAATGCACTGAATTAAAATTTAATAACTGAGGAAATTGAAAAGCCGAGCAGGAATATTGGAAATAAATCCAAGCAGAAACAGCTGAAATTAAAAATTCTAGAGAGTGGGAGGATAGCAGCTAAGCTGTCTTATATGATTACATTTTTTTTTTTCAGAATGAAGCAAAAAAAAAAATCCTATCTCTCGCTGGCTCTAGGGCAGTAAATCCACAGTGCTGTGATTTATTGCTCAATTTTCCTGAGGGAAAAAGGCTTTCTTTCATGCTGAAATATTTCATAAATTTCAAGCCAGCATAAATTCTTAATTTAAAAGTTATGGAGGTCACATTTAGTGCACTGGTACGGTTCCAAAATCTTAAAGGAATAGCAGCGACCAAAAAAAAAAAAGCAAAGAGGAGGGGTAGAATTTGCTTTTTTCTCTCTTTTTTTCATTTTGGTTTTAATTCACGAGTTGAAATTTCATTATTAAAGATTCCTCCTGGATGGATGAACCCCAAGCACGTGGGGAACTGGTGTGTGTTTGGATATGTGCTGCAAAAGATGAAGAGATAAAGATTTAATTCAATTATAAAAAGGCATTCTTTTTTTTAAGCCACTTGAGGAATTTCTGGTAAAAATTTCCTCCCTCCATTGCCCGGGAAGGGGTGAGGGTGGGGGAGGGTGGCCAATGTAATTGCTTCTCTTAGCTCTCCAATCTTTTGTGCACACTGATATATTCATTTGTTATACAGCTGTTCAGCGGCGGAAAGAATG